AAAGATACACACAAGTGTGTGCTCTATATATCTGCGTAATTCCAGGCATTTACTTTTATTTTTTAGGGCATATTTTGATTGCCGCACTTCTGTTTTCAAGTGAATTCTCTCTAAACTGAAACTCAAACTCAGAGCTCAAGTGCAATCATTTCAAGCTGTTGCTGTTGCATTTCATATTTTGTTGCTGCCGCATTATGTGCCAGATGTTAGGCCGTGTGTTGTCTCAAGTGTTGCCAAAAGATTCTGATTGCTTCTCTCGCTCGCTCTCACTCTCTCTCTCTCTCTCTCTCTCTCTCTCTCTCTGATTGGTGATTGAGTGTGTGGATGGGCCTGTGCTCTGGACTCACTTCTAATTGAAGTGCAAGCTCAAATGAAATTGCAAAAATGTATTGGCCCTTGCGGAGCACAGGCAGAAAAGAACTGTGTGTGTTTGCATTTAATTAAGTGCCTTATCAATAGGCAGGAAAAATTGGTTGTGTTTGCGCATGTTGCCCAAACAAATTGAGAGGATTTTGTTGAGGTCATTTCAGTTGGAAATTGGATTAATTGAATTTTGAATTGTGTTTTGTTGATTTAAAAAAAGGATTGCGGGGAGTGCGTTTTGAGCTAGAACTGTAGAAAGTATTATCGTAAATATACTTGTATAGAAGAGTGTAAATTTGCAAGAAAAAGAATCTGGGAACCATTTTCTTCTGTGTTTAAATAAAAACCTAGTTGAAATAAATAATGTACACTTTGATTTAAATATAAAAGTATTGAAAGCTAGTTTTCACATTGTCCATAATTTTTAAAATATTTATTCCAAATATGAACATTTTTCAAAAAAAAATTAAAATATTTAATTTAAATATGAAAATATTAAGTTAAAAAATTGAATTAAGTATATTTAAAAAATTAAATAATTGGTCATGCAATATTTTGATATTAATGAACCTGAAAATGATTTATTTTTTATTCTTTATTCATTTTAACTCACTCATAAATTATTTTTAAAGTTAATTCCAATGTTTTTTTCACTGTCTCTATTTTAAAGTGCATTTTCAGATGTTTAAGTGTTTCTTGGGGCAAAATCTTCCACAATCCCCTGCCAACCCTTAAGAATAAAACAACCAACCATTCCCCTTGCTTTTCACTCCCCCATCGTACACTTCGTATCAATCAAAAGTGTATGCCTTGATTTGCCTTGAACATAAATTGATTTGTAATTGAAATTAAATGTTTTCCCCTAACCCCACACAGTGCCCGCAGGCACTTGATTGGTTTGCTTGTCTGCAGACGTAAACGAAACCCTTTAAGCCAATGTTTTTTGGCACTAACTAAGGACAACCAGCTGCCCCTTCCATCTACTCCACAGATTTACTATAAACAGCTTTGCCGCTGAACTGTAGTTGCCCCCAAAACGTCTTTAGCCTCTGGCTCTCTTTTGTTGTTTTGTCTGTCTCAATGACATTGCTTTCAATTGGGAGGAACAAATTGTTAATTACGAGGAATATACACTACCAAAAAGAAGGTTGTAAGATAAAGGATTCATTTGTGGCTATTTAAAAAAATCAAAATGTTGTTTAATTTATTGGAATTACTGGATTAGTGAAATCCAATAGGTTTAGTGCTGCGAATTGATGTTTTTCACTGAAATTTAAGCACTCAACCGATAGTCCAGGGTATGCACAGCTTCGGCATACGAAAGTTGCCTTCATTTCTTGAAAGTTTCGCGTTTATTTCGCTCTCCTTGCAGGTCTGCCCACAGTTTTTGGAGCTCTTACCCCACCGATAGGACTACCCTCAGCATTAGTCCTACTTGGCTGTTGCTGTTGTTGTCTTTAAGGATTTCTGGCATTTAATTAGGCGGCAATCAAGTTGACATTTTAAACAATTTAAACAAGCAAACACGCGGCTCTCTCTGTTTGTCGCCGTCACTGTACTTTGACTACTTTAGCGCATATTAAAACGCTTTATGGCCAAAGGCCAATTGACATTGGACGGGGAAAGTGGAATTTAGGAGTCTCGGCTGGGGGGTCTTGCTCTTTAGGAAGCTGAAAATCGATAAATGAGACCAGCGTCTACTCAGCCCTTCCCCCCGAGTCGGGACTGCTATTAATTATGTCTTTTGCCGTTTTGTCGCATTGACGTAGGCGAAGCAATTAAGTTGCTGCTGGTTTGGCAAAGCAGGAAAATTCTGTTGAGAGCGGGAGCTGGTGGTGTATCAGCGGCAGGCAGTTGTGGGTGGAATTCAGGAAGAGAAAATGAAATTTTGGTCAGCCCTGTCCTTTTGGTCAGCCAGTCACATAATACCTATCAATGGTCAATTCCCTTCTGACACTTACACCCACCCAGCAGCTCCCAGCCACCACCTCGCACTACCTCCCTGATACACACTCCTGGCAAACACCCACCCTCCTCGCTTATTCAGCCTACGTGACCAGCAATATAATTCATATGAAAATTTAATTTGTATTATTTTTCTGTCGGTTGTACGTTACTATGTGCTATGTGTTTCTGTTTTTCTTTGGCTTTGAATGCATGGGAAATTGGCTAAAAAAATTTATATATAAAAATGCATACAGAAGTGGTCAAATTTATAGGATTTTTTCATGTTCAAATATATAAAATAAATATTTTTTAAGTTGCTAAATTACTTAAAGTATTGAAAATTAAAGTTCATGTTAATGTTGCCATGTAAATAGCAGAAATAAATTATGAATTTGTATGCGAAAATAGTCAACAATTTTGGCATGTTTCGAATTAAAATAAATTATTTTCATGTCTTTAATAAACGTAGAAAGTGCGGAGATAAATTTATTTAGCGGAGAGGAGGATTCATAGAGGATTCTATATGTGGCCTGTGTGACGTGATTTAAATAGCTAAAAGTGCTCAAATTCCTAGCATTCTAATAGACACAACAGGAGCTTAAAAGTGTTTTTGACCACTTAAACTGTATTGAATTCTTCTCGTCAGGAATGGGACTCAAATGCTTAACCTTTCCACGAGTATAAATTAAAATACAAATTTATTATAATTTATTAGCAGCTACTATTATTCTGCATTATTCCGCCACTATTATTTCCCCCCTAAACGTATATACTACACCCAGTCTGCATTGATAATATCTAACAAAGAATCAATATGCTGGCCAGACCAAAGCTCAGACATGTATTGCCATTCAGGAATTTGAACAAAGAATTTGGATAGTTTTTTGCCTCAGCTAAAATGTTGATAAAAAATTATGCAGTCAAAGGAGCACAAAAGCGTCAAAGGGGTTCTTTTTTCTGCAGCCCGGCTAACCGCATGTGAATGAGTAAAATAAATGTTATTGGGCTGAATATAAACTACAAATAATACCACTAACTACCTATAGTGCATCCACCATTTTATCCGGTATGCAGGAAATAGAAAATACAAAAAAGTGCATAAAATTATTGCATATTTAGCAATAAACAGAGGGACAGATAGAGGAAGCGAATATATTGGGCGAGTAAAGTGCGGTTTTGGCTTGTTTTTGGGCTGTGGGGTTTTTGGGTTTTCCATTGGCTTTTGTGTGTCAACAAGTTTTGTTTGATCCCAGACTAGCCGCAAAATGAATGTGCAACATACTCGTCTCGTCTCCATGCACTTCGGATCACTTTGTCTGTCTGTGTGTGGGTGTGCCATTTTTTTGTTATATTGTGTGTGTGAAAATTTGATTGCATGAACCGCAATTTGAATGATATTTGGTTTTTGTGGTCCACTGGACATGCGATATGGCCCGATTGATATTGGTTTTCCTTTCCCTCTTTTTTTTGGGCGGCTAACCATTAAGTGATTTTCACCGCTATCGATATATTAGCATATTAATTATAATTTTACTCCTTTGCTGCTCTTTCGTTTTACGTGGATTTCCCTTTTTTTTTTGGACTCTGAAAATCCTCATTAGCTTAACAATGTGGAAAAATCGACAGACAGGGCCGAGGAGTACAGGGAGCAGTTGAAAAGCTACGCAAATAAAGTCCATTGAAATAATTACCAGTGAGTGGATTGGGGGCGGATCGGAGGAAATTTGCATCCGAAGTCCAATCTGCATTCGGCTGACCGCATTATCCTTTGGATTGCTCTTGCAGTCGCTCGCTGTCGCTGGCGCTTATCCTTTGGACAAGTGCTGGACAGCGTTTTAAATTTCATTAAATCTGCTCACTTCGTTTGCCAATGCAATCAACAACAGCAGCAGCGGCGGCTGTGTGTTGTGGGTGGGGAGTGTAGGGAGTGGCAGGTTTAGAAAAAGTTTAAGGGTGGCACAGGCACCAGCACCTACCGTCGCATTTCATTTACAACGCCTCAAGTGCTTGAAATCTACTTAGATCCAACGGTTTGCAGGTTCTGCTCTAACTATTCTTTCTCTCTCTCTCTCTCTCTCTTTCTTAACCTTACGTAATTAACTCGCTTTTGCTCTTGTTTTTCTTGATTTCTGTTTAATACCCTGCTTCTGGCAGGGTAAATCAGGTATAGCTTTTAAACAAAATTTTTGTTTGTGCGTCATTGATCGGGTCACACTAAATATAGAGTAATAGAGTGGCCAAGAGCTGCTTAAGGCAAAAAATATGAACGTTTTCTGTTAAGACTTTTCAACTTTCATCAACTTGTAATTAATTTTCATAGAAATATAATTTTTGTATTGAAAGTTTGGTTTAAAAACAATAAAAGTACTTCGAAAAAAGTTTTGTATTTCATTAATTTAAAACTAAAGCTACAAATGATTGTAAAAATGTTTTTTTTTTTATACAAAAAATGTGCTAAACATTTTTCTAGCTCAAAAATGACTTAAAAAATTAAGTAAAAAGTTCTATAAATTTGCCTCGTAATTTTTACACAATTTCTTTTACAGCAAAGGGTATTCCTTATTCGATGTGCTCGTTCGTGAATTTCAATTATTCCTTCACTTTGTTTTCACTGCGTTTGATCTACTTTACGGCTAGGATTTTAGTTTAATTTCTTGCAGTTTTCTATAGTTTTTTTTCTTCCTTTTTTCACCTTTTGGTTGGGCTGAGGGGGGGTGGGAGGCTGTATAGTTGGCTCAGAAGCTTTCGCTTTTTTCTCTCTCTAATTTCTTTTGCGTTATTTTTCACAGCGTTTGCTCCTCTCTGCTGTATGCACTCTATCCCACTTTCTCCCCTCCTTTCTCCACTCCTTTGCCTATTTTTCTCTTTCCTCTTTTGGCGTCCGGAACTAAGTGAAAAAGTAAACAGAAATCCATTAGCTGGGCAATCATTGACGGCGTCGCCAGCGGCACCGCATCTATCTAACTATCTCGCTCTTGCTTGCACGTTCTCCATCTCTTTCACACTTTTGTGCTGCCATCTCTCTCTTTCTCAGCAGAGCGACCAGCAGAGGTCGCGCTGTGGCTGCGGGATTTTATAAATTGCTGCCCCATCAAGGCATTTGTTCCACTTTTCTTTCACTTTTTATTTCCATTTATTGCCAGACGACAATTTCCCTAGCTCCAAGTAAACTTAAATAAATAATACAAACGACTAACTAAAGAGGAGCGAAAGAGCGGGATGGTTGCCCTAATCGATGTCTATTTTATAGCCCAAATCTATGGAAGCTCGTATGTGCTCCTTGAGATTGATATAACCATTACGCAGGGATTCCTGTGTCAAGAACTCCCTGACCTTGTCCTCCGTCTCACAAAACACTAGATTCTCCGTGTGATCGATTAGGCGCTTGAGGTGTTCGGGGAATCTATACAAAATCAAGAGAGTCGAGCTGGCAGCATCCGCCTGACGGCACAGATCACTCGATAGCTTCGATATGCCCTGAGCGGCGGTGTAATCCAGACCCGTTATGCGGTGTCCATCGATGACAACAGTGATACCAAAATCCGCTTGTGTGCAGGCCTTGAGGACACGTTCCCGCAGGTAATTGATGGCCGGAAAGTAGATGCCATTGCCTGGCGTCACGCGGATGTACTGCATCTCGTCGAGCTCCTCAATCTTTACACGCACCTCGGGACGTGCCCAGAGGAATAGCAGATGCAAAGCTGTCACCACAATGCTAACAAACAGACCCACTTCCACCCCGAACAGCACACAGACACAAAAGCACAGCAGCCAGGTGGCAAAGTCACGCTTCGAGTCACGCCACAGCCGCAGCGGCAGCTTAAAGTCCAGCAGTGTGATTATCGAGCATATCAGTATGGCCGCCAGTGTGGCTTCCGGTATGAAATTAAAGTACGGACTGAGATAGCTCAAAGCCAGCAGCACAATGATACCTAAAGGTGGACAGAGAGTATCAGGTTTCTGCTGCAATTATGTGTCACTCTTTGTGGCTGCTTACCCAAATAAAGATTTGCCATTGGGGTTTTGAGGCCACAGGCCGTGCTTATGGCATAGCGTGTAAAGGCGCCCGATGAGGGCATGGCTTGGACACAGGAACCAAACATGTTGCAGAGTCCCACCGTGAGCAGCTCTTGATTGGTGTCCACCAGGCCTTTGGGTGCTGAAAGAGGGAATGGATTTGAGAATTTACAGACATTTACTTCAGGGTTTAAAGTGCAAGTGAAGAAAATTCCGTGGATTTTAGAGCTACTACTTTCGGTTTTCTCTATATAACACTTTGTTATCTCCTAATTACTCAATCGTTGCTCTCTTTGTTTACTCTCGGCATACAGTTTAAGACCTTAAGAGTCGAGTGCCAACCGATGTCTAGACACCAGAATTACTCACTCAACTTTCCGATTGATATATTCGTGAGTATGCCCACAATCGGTATGACTATAATGCCCATATTAAGCTCCTTTAAGATCTCCCAGAAAGTGTAGTTTCGTGCTGGCGTTTCAATCTCCAGACTGGGAATTGTAAAGTTGGGCAACGTGGCCAAAGCATTCTGGCTCAGGGCATAGGGCACTTGGCCCGCTTGTTGCAGCCAAATGTAGGTGACAATGCCGGCTATTAGCACGATGAGAGTATTCCTAGAGGTGGACAAATAGCGGCAGCAAATTCTTAGAACTTTTCCATGATTTTCATTGCAAGCCACGCGTTCAAGTAGCTGGAAAATAGAAGGAGAGAAATGTTTAGGCAGCTGAAGGTTGTAGTAATTTATGCACAAACCTCGAGTAACAGCAAAAAAACTATAGCACAAACGCCCATAATGAGATCAGCCATATTCGATTCGTCTATGCGAGAACTTAGGGTAGTGACGGAGCTTAGGAGACCCGCCACTAAGTACTTGATGCCCAGCAATACTTTCAGCTGTGATTCAATCACCAAAATGGCAGTGGCTGAGGAAAAGGCCTTGATTACAGGCATTGAGATGAATTCAAAGATGAAACCTGTAAGAAAAATTATAAAAAAATACATTAAATATAAATTAAAAGATATTAAAAAATAAAAAAAAATTAAAACTAAATTTTAAAAAAATTATAAGCAAAAAAAAATAATTTAAAATTTGATGCAAAACAAACTAAAAAAAGAAATTTAAAATTAGATGTTAAAAAAATAAAAGAAACTTAAATAAATATTCAAAGATTGAAATTTATAATAAAAAAAAACAAACAAAAAAAATTAATAAAAAATAAAAAAAATATTAATAAAATCTGATCCAGAAATTATTGAATTAAAAAAAAATTATACTAATTAACATTGAAAATTCCTAGTCCCAAAAATAAAATCAATTAAGAGTCAAATAAAATGTAAACTAATTTTGTGACTGGTTCCTTGAATATAAATTAAATAAATTAATCTTCTTGCCCCATGACCCCCAAGATCAAATAATTAAATGTTGTATCAAATCTATAAAACATACAAAAAAGGTGTGACAATGGAGCTGGATCTGAATCATATCAAAACAGTGTCTCTCTGGACCTCAATGTGTGGTGATTTCAATAGGGGCTCAAACATTGCAATCATCACCTAAAGAAGGTGCTAATTGGCTGCTAAATGGTGTTAATCGCATTGAATAAATTGACGTACAACTCAATTGGTTTCGTTTCGGCTAAGCCTCAAGTTCATGGGGGAAAGGGATGAACATGAGGGCAACACACGGCAGTAACACTTGATTCAATTTAGCAATGAGATCACACACAACCAGACACAGATAATAGATAGATAAACAGACACACTCACCTAATCGTAGAGCGCCCATAATGATCTGTACAATGCCGCTGAGAAATGTCAACAGAAATGCAAACTCGATGGGTCGCCCCACCGTAAATTGTACACTGACCAATGCCACCAGACTTGTGGGTCCAATGATAACCTTATCGATCGAACCAAACACCATATAGATCAAAGGTCCAATGAAGGCCGAACAGAGGCCATAGCGTGCCGGTAGACCCGCAAGCAGCGCACAGGCCATGCTCTCGGGTATGATGGTTAGGCCGAGGGTAATGCCCGCTATAAAATCATCGATACCCCATTCGGGAGAGTACATTGGCAGCCATTGAGTGATCGGCACATGACGATGCAGGCATCGCTTCCATTTGGGTATCGCTGGGGGTTTCTCATCCTCTGTTTGGGTTTGTCTCGTGGCCAAAAGACTCTGAGCCGTTGCCTTTTCTTGGGCCTCAGCATCCGTCTCCAGTTGGGGATACATGTCACTGGATCTCACTGGCACGTCTATCAGCCTCGAAACGCGACTGTCGAATGATACTGGGCGGCCCTTGCTCGTCTACTAGTTGTGATAATGATCCGTAAATCGTAACCGTAGATTGTATTGTAGATCATCTTTGTCGTGCGAGATTCTGCGATGCTGTTTGCTCTTGTGTTTGTTTGTTTACCTTACATATCAGAGCCTCAATTGGCATTGTCTCTTTTTCCGCTACGTTTCGCTACAGTTCATTTCGTTTCGTTTTGGTTTGGTTTGGGGTGTTGTTCTCTCTTTACGGGTTCTCTCTCGCTTTCTGGGTTGCCGGTTCTCGGGCAATAAAAACCACAAGCGACGCCATCTAAATTATCGTTGGTTTATTAATTTTATTTGTTAATTGTTAAATATCCTGGTAGATGATTGAAAGCATGTGTAAAATATGACTTTGGAGTTGGATTTGGCATTAAATATTTCGCATAAGAGTGATGTATTATTTCATCATCTGTTTGATGTAAATTTCTATGGCTATTTATATATAATCATTTTTATCTTCATTCCACAAATACTCCCCAAAAACTGTTTCCTTTTTGCTGCCGATGTTCATAAAATTCTTGCACTTATTTCACCATCTTTCCCTGCCTCAAAAAAAAAGTCATTAACCTTTATCTTTGCCCCACTCTCTCACTCTCGCTGTTTCCATTTAATGTAATTATATTTCTAGATTATTTTTTCCATTCGCACGAACATTTGCCACACATGTGCCATATGATTCATATTTGCTTTTCGTGCCTTTTCCTTTTAATGTGCACTCCCCGGGCCCCCCCCCTGCTCTTTGTCTAGATTTTGAGTTATGCAAATATTCCAGAAAAAAAAACGAAACAAACTTTGACTGCAAGCGTGTCCTGGAACTGTGTGGAAATTTTGTATGCAAATTTTATCAAAAGCGACGCGACGCGACACGACACCCAGCAAATGGCAAAAGCTAATAAAAAAAGGCAAACAACATTTTTAATGTAAATTAAAATTAAAAAGTTTCGATTGACTTTCCACTTTCTGTGCGTACATTAAAATATTGTGACTTTTATTGCGTTGCCAAAGCAGAGCTGTTAAAAGCTGGAACAAAATCTTTCTCATTCTGCCTCTTAGATCCATTCAAGCTGCGTCTGAAATGTGGAAGAATAATTATAACATTGTAAAATTAATATTTTCGTGTGGCACTACCAGAATAAGCCAACATTTACCGATTTAATTTGGTAAAAATTGTTCCTGTATGTGCCTGCAAAATGTTTTTGATTAATGCAAAGCAATGCTAAAATTATTCAATATTTAATACCTGACTGTACAGTCTGATCCCGCCTGATCCACAACTAATTATGGCAAAAATCCCATTTGGTAATCGACTAATTTGCAATTCAAAGTCAACAATTTCAACAGTCTGCAAAATTTGAATGGTTTATGGCAACAATCTCTCTGTACCAATCTGAATAAAAATCTGCTTTTAATCACCAGAGCCACGTGTGGCCAGCAGTGCGTGTCAAAAATATATAAATAAATTTCGTGCCAGCCACTCACTCAGTGTATCTATCCCTTTAGCCGCCATTTGTTATGTAAACGCGGACAGCAGGATATACGCACAAAAAAGCAACAACGAGTGATGCCACATATATATGCAAACAATTAGCACTAAATGGATTTTGGGAGGAGTATTGGGGGTGGCGCAAAAGTTTGTAAATTTCTAGGAAATTTGCGCAAAATCAATTAAACCGAAATGCAAAAACATACGCCAGAAAAATCAGTAACAGAAATAGGATTTGAAATCATGGCTAGCCAAAAAGGGATAATCGAATGTTATGGCAACAGACAGACAGAGAGAGGGAGACAAATACACAGATAGACACAGCCATGAAAATGTATCTGGGGAAAGGTAAGTGGCACACACGATAATGAGCTTGCCAATGGGTGCTGTAATGCTATACCCAGAGGTTAATCTATACTCCATATTACTGCATTCGACTTATTAGAGTGTCTATCAAACATTTGGAATTTGGTTTGGAGTGGCCTCTCGGGCTCACTGTTGCAAAAATCGTTGGGAAAAATGATTGCATTACATTTGGGCAACATTTCAGGTAAATGTCTAAAAATTACGAAAGCTTACTCGAGCCAGACTTGGATTTGTCTGCAAAATGAGACCATCAATTGATTAGTTGGCTGTATGAATCATAAAACTCTTTATTTAGTAGAAATTTCATTCAGTTTTCCACCCTCCATTGCACTTCCTTACTCGCACATTTGTGCCATATTTTGTGCAATTTTTAAATTGCATTTTCCCTTCGAGCTCACAGCTAAATGTTCTCACGTGCTTTCATATCCTTATAAAAGATTAAGCACAAATGTACAAGAATGCAAAAGGCGAAGGCGAACAATAACTATAAATGGATCTGTGAGAACTTTATAAAATTATGCACTTAAAGTTATTATTTGAGGCGATTATTGCAACAAGGCAGTGTGGTGCAAGTGCAACAATGCACGATTGCACTTGCAACGAAGAGGAGTAGCAGCAGCAGTGGCAGTGGCAGTCCATATTTAAATGAAATTTTAAGTGCCTGACTTGGCACGGTCCCCAGCCCCGGCCCCATCAAAGCGAGCCAGCAGCAGCTGCTGCTGCTGCTAGAGCTTACTCTCTCCTACCCTCAAGTTGATTATTATTTCCGAGCACACTTCGTTGTGGCATTATTATAATGACTGTTGCAGCAAAATTCACAACGCACCTGACTCGAATACAATGTTTCTTCCTGCTGGAATTGAAGCAGGCAAAGAGGAGGATGTGAAGCCATTGTGTGCCACCCAAGGAGCCCAGTAGATTTTGAGCCAACTGTTGGCAGGCGTCCATTAGACAAGGCCAAGAAGCAAACACACAGAGATAGAGAGAAAGAGAGAGCGCTGTTCTCAATTTCACTTTCGCTGGAGGTTGATATTTTATGCAGAATAATTTTGCCAAATATTTCAAAAAAGTTTAAAGACGGCCAGCGAATCATACGATATCTCTTGCTTTCTTTTATCTATTTTTGCCGCAAATGAAACTGAGAACAATCAGACAAATAGAGAGACAGTCAAACAGAAGATAGTCCGAGACTCAGGACTTAGTCCTGACAAATACAGACAGTAGACAGTCCAGACATTAAGCCTCCCCTAACCCAAGCCAAGCAACATCGATGTCAAAATGTTTACGCTTTTGGCCTAATGAAATTTATAAGCAGCCAAAATGCATTTGCACATTTTATGTATATTTATTTATTTATTTATTGTTGTACATGCAGTGTCCACCCACAGCCAGATAACACTAATTAAATACGACTTGAAATGTTTTTTAATCAACATTTTTGTTGCTAAAGTACTTTCTAACGTTTTTTTTTTTTTATTGCAGGTGGCAAATAGCTCTTGTTGCTGCTGCTGAGTCACAGCCTCGCAGTAATCACAGAGTGATTACGGAAGAGGGGAAGTGCCGGTGATATGGTGCTAAAACTTAATTGCAAAATCAATTTCAAGAAAACTCTAGATTATTGTTTTATTTTTGAGCTCTCTCCAAGAGAAGAAGCAACAAAGAAGAACGTCAGCTGATAGAATGGGTGAGTAATTCTTGGAATTTTATGATTAGAAAATCAATTAAGGAAAGGGTAATACATAAGCGAAGACTCTTTGAGAGTAACAGATTTCCATCGAGAAAATATAGAAGGAAATGTATTGCATAGCGGATCTATAATTTTTGGTATTTTAACAGCTCTGGAAGAGCATGTAAAAGTTGAGTAGAAGTGCGAAATTGATGTAAATTCCATCTAAATGCTCTAGACCCTTATAAATGTAGACATTTTAGGCTGATTTAAATGGATTGTAAACTAATGAAGATAAGGTATCGTTTTTGTAATAGATTGGAGACAATTTCCTCAAGATTTCATATTTATCATCCGCTGAAATAAATATGAAATCTAATAAAATGATAAAAAAAAGATTATGTGTCACCGTCGAGTTTGGGTTGAAGGACACTGTCTCTTATCTAATCATCATTCATTAAATTTTATTAAGCGATTTTGTATAAGATATTTTTTTTTCGAAGAAAAGATAAATCTATAGTAATTTTTTGATTGATTGTTTGTTGACTTCAAATATGTGATTCCCTGTGATTCCCAGGAAACTACTCCATATCTATGCTTAAATCTTGTTTAAATTAAATCAAATAAATTCCCAAAAATGCATGGCATAAATACACAAAAGATCCTCATCAACAGACGTAAATTCCTTACAAATTCTGTTCCCAATGCCGATTAGCATCTTTCGCGTAAAACGCAAATTACGAGCCCCAAGGAAATGTAATAATATTCTCCGGCCCATCCCTTTTTTCCATGCCAGCAACAAATATAATTAAAATTTTATCACACGCCAAAGCAAACACCTGGCGTACAGAAAATAAAGAAGAAAAAATAAAAAAAAAACGAGAAACGAATAAAATGCCGGGGAAACGCATAAAAAATGAAATTCAAAAACTCGGAATTAAACGAAATTTTATTATTAAGTGCACAGACACACAGAGTGAGGCTGAGGCACAACATATATTTTTATTGAAAGCGTGTGGCGCCTCCTGCGTGTGTGTGCTGCGCCTCAAGTGGCTCTTGGGCCTCAAATCCCCCCCCCCCCCTACATGCCTATAATAATCTTCAGCACACACACACACGTAGACGTCCCCGAGAGACCTCCATGGAGGAGGAAGCACTCGAAGAAGTAGGAAAAAAGACGGCTTTGATTTTTAGTTAGGCAGTCGGCAGGCGGTTTTGCAGCCTCGTCGTCGATTTTTGCCAATTTTGACATCCTTACTGCCAGCCGCATTATTTCCGCCAACTGCCACGCCTACTGCACCTACGCGCCCTTGTGTCTGCTAGGAGTTTCGATTGAAAATTGCTACGGCTTTGCTGTTGTTGTTGTGGGGTTGCGGGGTTGCGGGGTGGCCAAACGTGCCATGGATTTCAAATGAAACGTGTGTGTGCAGGCAGCAGTTAGAGAGAGAGTCGAGTAAAATACTCATA